TCCAACTTGATTCAAGCATGGATTCATCTTGTAAACATCATTTTCATGCAATTACAACTAATCCCTCATGAATTTCAATTCAAACATCCAAAATCATCATAAAACCCTAAGTGGTTGAATTCAATATAACCATTTCTAATGGCTTTTCATCAACTTTCAAGTATGGAAACGAATCAACAACGTCAACTTCATCATAAACCAACCTTAGAACATGAAAATATAGCATCCCCTTTATCTTTCCAATTCATAAATTTAGGTTTTCAAGCATGGAAAGCATGAACAAGTGGTACCAAATGATAGAGAATTTCACATAGAACAATTTTGTATTTCAAGCTTTCATCCAAAATCTTAACAAATTGGCTTGAAAATTGAAAAGAAAAATGTTTCTCTTACCTTGTAAAACCCACGACCATGAATAAGAAATGGTGAAGAAAACTTGAAAATTCTAATTGAAAATATCTATGTCATTTGTCTTTTAAATAATCAAAATGAATTAAAAATTCATTTTAATTCCAAATGACTATTTTGCCCCTATAATCTCATGATAATTATCAAGCCACATGTCAATTTTGTTCATCCATAGGTCAAAGATGAACCAACTAATTCATGGCTTTCAACTTTGCCCTTGAAGTTTTCCTCATTACAATATTGCCATTTTAATCCAACGGTCTCGATTTAACATGGAAAATCAACTTAAATCTAGTGGTCCATGTTAAATCCTACTAATTTAAGACATGGAAATGACATTATTAACCTTGACCTATCATCTTTCAAAATATCTCAAAAATCTTATTCGATTCGATTATCTAAATTTTTCTCAGACTTGATCGCTTTATAGCTTTAATATGAAGTCCGAGCCAAAAATCTGAGTGAAACAAAAATTTCATTCTTGGGGGTAAACTATTCATTTAGGGGATAAAATTTCTTTATGGGAAAAATACCATTTTGTCCCTAAACATTTCTTAAATTTATACTTTAGCCATTAAACTTTCAATTTATTCATTTTAGCCACTAGCCAAAATTTTAGGGTATTACAAAAGGGGTCTATAAAAACCCTAAAATTAAAGTGTAAACAGTTGGATTCTGATAGAAAAGAATAATAAAAAACATATTTTGAAGGTATTTTTTCATTTTTCCAGCATCTTCTTACATGTGTTCTATTCAAAACAAAGCATAAAAAGAGATGAGGGGATTTGTTACCTTCTTTTCTGGTGATCTCATCATCGGATTCAGTCATCGGTTGTTGGGATTGTGATTTGAAAATGTTGAAGTTTTTCTTAGTTGTTTAGGGTTTTGGTTCGGTAAACCACCATTAATGGTGGTCGGAGCATGAAAGAGAGCTAATTTAAGACGTTAATGAGCTTTCAAGGGATTTGGTTCGAAGAGAAACAAAGGATTTAGAAGAGAAGTAGAGGTCATGTTTTAGTTTGGGATAGACTTTTGCTTCATTGGTTGTGGTTGAGAAAGGTTTGAGTGATAAGTAATGTCGTTCTACGGTGGAAGAAAGGTGGTCGTGCCCTTTGGGGGTTTCGGTAGAGAGAATGAGAGAGCTTTACTAAAAGGGGATTTGGTTTTTTAGAGTTTAGATACCAAGAGTTGGTTTTTTCTTAGGTTAGAATGAAATTCAAATGAAATAATAAAAAAGTAAGTCATATACCTAGAGCATTTTGGTTATTCATGCATCAGTCCCAATACTTTCATCATGTTTTTATAGTTTAGTCACCAATTTTTATTATTTTGAACTTTTCCTAATTCTACCATTTTCTATTTTCTGATAACTAACCTTTTAAATTTTATTGCAATAATCACTCGATTCGACCTTACATCGATCCGTCTTAGGGTAAGACTTGTATTATATATGGTTTGGGTTAAAATTTAGTTCTAACCACTAACTTTTAAATTACATCACTGAAACAATTATATGACCTCACGAAGACTCGTCTTAGGGTATGACTCGAGTTATTTACGGTCCGAATACAATTAAAATTAACCTTTAACCTTATTTTTGTGCAATTTACATTTATGTTTATTTAAATTCTAATACTTTAATTTTTAGTATTTTTAATTTTTGCCCTTTAATTTCCATTATTTTAATTATAGTCCTTTAAATTTCAATATTTAATTTTCTACATTTTTAACATGTATTACTTTATGTTTTCTTTCATTTTAGTCTTTTTATTAGATGTGTTTTAATTGTAGTTATATCTCTAATTTGCTTCAATTTAGTCCTTTTAAGATTTTATTTTATTTTTTATTAATTTTTATTTTAGTAATCTTAGATAAGCCTTAGTTTAATTACTTAGCTTCTAGATTAATGCTTTAAATAAGAGTTTATTAATTTTAGTCCCTAAACTTAGTTAATTTAGGTGAAATTTTAATTTGGTTCTCGTTTTAATACCTAATGTTCTATATTAATTATTCGATCCAATAATTTGCTAAAATGACTAGGTTTTAATATTAGAGCCTTCATTTTAGATTATTTTCATCTTTACTCCTTTAATTTAAGAAAATTTTTAATTTGGTCATTTCTTTTATGTCTGCAGTTCCATATTAATTATTCGATCCAATAAAGTTCTAAAATTGGTTTGGTTTTCATATTAAAGCCTTCATTTTAAATTAAATGAACCTTATTCCTTTCATTTAGGGGAATTTTTAATTTGATACTCGCTTTTATGCCCAAGGTTCCATATTAATTATTTGATCCAATAAATTGATAAAATTGGCTAGATTTTAATATTATGACTTTTATTTTAGGTTTAATCCTTTAGGTTCATTAAAATTCATAATTTGACACTTTAGTTAGAGGGAATCCTTAATTAATTTAGCTAGTATAATTAGGTTCAATAATTGGTTGTTTGATTGCATAATTCGATTTCAAATTAAGGCAATGATCATTTATTAGAGGTTAATAGTGTATCTTCTACTTATATAGGGGGTAACCACTATTGATTCCAAAAATGAATAAAGATCATTTTCAAAATCATGCATCGTGATTTTAAAATTATTAAGGCAATGTTTATTTATTGGGATTAATAATGAATCCTTCGCTTGTACTTGGGGTATTTGTTATTAGTCTTAATGAATTGACACCCTTTTTAGATTTGCATACATAATAAGTCCTAAATTAAATAAAATTTCGAACTCAAAATTTTCAATTTTAAAACATAGAGTAATCGACTAGGTACCAATTTTCAGGCGCTGTGGGATGCTAATCTTCTCCCATTCGTAACTGACTATCGAACCTAGTTTCTAATTTCGTGGACCAAAGCATTGATATTTTTAGTAAAATAAAGTGTTTTATTAAAATTACTTGGTTTTAGGTGTTTCAATCTAACTTGAAAAACGATTGGTGGCGACTCCCTTATTTTGATACATGCATCACAAGGCTCACATCAAAGGAAGATGGACTAACGCTTACAATTGATCCACACGACCAAGCCTTGGAAAAAAGAATAGAATAACATAAGAAAATAATTTAGGCGTTAGATAGGTGATAATATATGGAATATGGATATGAAAATGGAATTGAAAAATAATGAATGGATAAAGAGAAAACTGAATTTGAAATTTTCCCCTGATATGTATGTGTTGTCGCAAAGCTTGTGGAGATGATGGAGATGGCGTGAATTTGATAATGATGATGATGGATATAATGGAAATAATGGATAAGTGTCTTATCGAACCTTTCTAATTGCAATGAAAAGGCAAACTCAATAATACGACTCTAATCAGCCCACCTAATTGCAATGAATAGCCAAATCGGAGTGTGAAGATATCTCTCAAGAACTCAGAAGAACTAAAAGAAAAAGAAGCTTCGAAGGCACAAGGCAATCAACTCTTGCAAAAATGAACTCTCGTTGTATTGTATAAAATAAATGAATTGGTGATTACAATAGTGGGAAGAGGATCCTCTATATAGGGTGAAGGAGTCCTTGTTGTACTATGACTAATGCTTGAAAATAATTATAAAAATAATAATAACAATATTATCCTAATTCCTAATAACAATAAGTTAAAGATAACTGTTTTAACTCTATCTTAATTCCTAATAAAATAATAAATATAATCCTAAAAGATAATGAACCATTTTATATTAAATTATATTACAAATAATCAATAAATATATTGAAAAATCGTAATATTTACAAAATTACATATTAATCTCGTATAAGAATTTCTGCATGCACTGTCTTCACTACCATGAATGTATCTTGATTTCCTGATATCGAATTGATGCAATTCAAGAGCCATTGGAAAGCTAAGAGATAGCCGGTCGTAACTCCAAAAGACATGTCGACCAAATAACATTAGGATTTAATTCAAAAAGAAGTCGCAAGTCTACTGTTATTCTGTTATGACATGATTAATTTTGCCAAAAACCCTAATTTGGCTAAGTTATCATATCCTATCTTATCCATTATCCTTATATATCATTGTCTTTATATTATCTTTATTTATTCTTATTTTAATCTTTCAATTGTCTCAATTTCCAACAAACCATAAATCTTACATACCATATCCCTGTCGTCGCCTATATCATCTCAATATTTCCTTCTCGTTCTTTGATCGGTCTAAAACCTAGTCAAGCCCGATCCCAAAAGTCGTTACGACAAGAATCAAGTAGAAATATTATCTAATACCCATAACACCAGGCCGGCAGGCCCACCCCAAACGCAATAACCAAACTTGTAAAGACCCACTTCATTAAAATATTACTTTGTCATAAAAAAATATTAAAACAAAATAACTTGTCTATATTAGAGGAGACTGCGACTTCCATTATAAAAGCATCAACAATCTACTTCACCTTACATTATATTTTCTTAATTTCGCCCAAAAAATTCATTTTCATATTAAAATGTATCTGAATATAAATTTTGAAGTTCGGATAAAAAAGCTCTAATGATCAAAGTAGTAAAAGTATGGTAATTAAAGGACTAAAAATGCATTAAGCCATTTAAAAAAATTAAACGAAGAGAGGGAAATGGGAATATAAATCGTGAAAACATTTCCCAGCCAAATCAAAAGATATAGAAGAAACAAAAAGGTTGAAATGGAACTTCATTTTGAGTGCACAGATTTGAGTGTTTGGAAGGAAACCCTCTCCACATACAAATCTCGAATGGAATCTCTAAACAAGCCAAACTTGATTTCTCTCGACGAATTTTACAGCCACGAACTCCCCTTTCTTCTCCACCAAAGAAACCCTAACCCTTTCATTACCACATCCGAACTCTCCCGCCTCATGCAATGGAAGCTCACGCGCGGCAAATGGAGGCCCCGTTTGTTAGATTTCGTTTCCTCTTTGGACGACTCTTCCGTAAAGTCCGCTTCTCAAAAGGCTTTCCATTCCCTTCCCGACACCTCCAAAGCCATCTCAGAGCTTACGGTTTTGAAAGGAGTCGGCCCCGCTACAGCCTCCGCCGTTCTCGCTGCTTACGCTCCTGAAACGGCGCCGTTTATGTCCGACGAGGTAAATGTTTCTCCAATCTTTTTTCCCACATTATTTTGCATTTTTGTTTATTTATAGATTCTTTTGATTTGATCTGAGTTCAATTTAAATTCAAGGCTATGGTGGCTGCGCTTGGAAACTCTAAAGATTATTCGTTAAAACAATACTTGTTATTCACGGAAAAACTACAGATAAAATCTAAGGTTTGTGAGATTCCGTTTTATTCCATTAGGGTTTTTATTATGTTTTTTAAGGGGCATGATCCTTACATGTATTTAGTTTCGATTATAGCTGTTAATCACTTTTAAAGATGGTACATGTAAAATATTCCAGTAGTTTTCCTGTTAGTATAATGGTTGTTTAATGATTAATACTTCAATGTATTGAAATATTGTTGATAGAATTGACCGGGCTTAAAACTTGTTTATCTTTTATATTTAAGATGATATTTGTACTTGTCTTAAACCCGGTTTGGTTCCATGAAAAGATTGCGTCAGGTTGATGAATTTTTCTGATTCTTGTGAACTGTTGGGAGTTAAATTGTGTACATTTGATGGGGAGCTTATTGCAATATCTGGTTGGGTTTTGTATGGTAATGTGTACTACTTTTCCTTTGTCTAAATATGATTCTTTTTCATGTTGTGAAGTTCATTTCTAGTTTACACAGCTTATTTTGATTGAGCACCTCTTTGCATGGCCCCTCAAAATGGTATTTACACAGTCGAGATTACTTGATACAAACTTAGATTTGGGGACATGGGACCAGAAATGTTTTTTTCAACAGAAATGTTCTTTCTGTTGTTGAACCTGTGTTTTTTTAAAAAAAAATTCTTTTTTTGGGGGGGAGGTTGGAGTTTGGGGGATTTTTAAATATATATATATATATATATATTTCAATATAATAATTTATTTTTAAGTATTTTTAAATATAATCTTCAAAATTACCAGAATATAACACGTGTCGCTTAACGGGATTTTTTAACGGCCGTTCTGGTTGGGGACTTAAAATGGTAACGTTTGTAATATTAGGCACTTGGATTAACCGAAAAATAGTTTAGCCACCTAAATAGAACAATGGTGTATTTTGGACACTTATTTTTATATTAAGCCTTATTTTGTAGTTGACATTATTTGTTGAGAACTTTTCTCTGCTGGATGTTTGATTGAAGTACTTAATTCAATCAGTAATCAGTATAGAGTACATTGAAAATTTGGCTGTGTTGCATATACTGAAAATTGATCAATGAAAGATGCTTAATTCATGATGTTTGCAAGTTTGTCAGCCTACTTAGTCAGTCTCGGTTTTGAGCTTATTTGTTGGCTTTATTCATGGGCAAAAGAGAATAACTTCTCATGATATATTGCATATTGTCATGGAGAAAGATCAATTAATTGTCTGTAGGCAGCTTTACTTATGTGCATGATCCATGGAATACATTTGTGAAAAGGAGGAGGGTCTATGTTTTTATTACAGGAATTAAGTGCAAAAGGTGACTCCTTCACACCTTCAGATGTAGAAAGGGCACTGTGGAGTTCAGCTGTAGGCGTAAAGTTGGAATCTTCACAGAAAGTATCGGATAACAAGATCAAGGGAAGCAACAAAAGAAAGAGAAAGCATTGATTTAGTAATGTGGTGGATGATGGAAACTTTTGTAAGTTCTAACTTGTTCAATTGTGTACCTGATACTATCACTTTAACAATGTGATGTTGTGCCTTGGTCAATCGGGCAATACATACATGGAATGTAGCCAAAATATATGGGCATTGGACAACCGATTTCTTACAAGTTCATTTCTTGTATGAGTTGGTATAGTCAAGGTTAACCCTTTGATATTAGTTGAGATATTCAGAGCAACTTTAGTACGGAATTATTCGACAAAAATGGCAAAAATGAAGTTAATGAAAGGTTTGATAGTCTTCTTCTTACCCATACTTTTGCTGATGGTAAATTTTATTTTGGGGTCAAATTGTGAAGAGCAGGCGCTCTTTATATATATATATATATATATATATTTGGAGTAAATACAAGGTAATTTGTGTTTTAAGACTCAACCATTTGACAATAAATGTTCATATCTTTAATATTTGTGGTACTTGAATCCAAGACCTCAAGGTATAACAATAACAAGTCTTTTGACCATTGAGGTCATTTTGTTTGTGTTGAAGAGGAGGCGTTTTAGATTCAAACCACAGCATTGCAGAAAGCTACACTGTGATGAGGGTGGACGCAACTGATTAAAGAGCAAGCAAGAAGCCACGTCTGACCTCACCATTATAAGGATGTACAGATAAGCCATTTAAACCCACAAGCAGATTAGGTTAGGCAGAAGGACAATGTTGTATTTATGGTATGGACTCTTTAATGGTTAGTCTAGCTGTTGGTAAATTGAAAAAAAGAAAAGCTATCTAATTTTAAAAGTAGTTTACACCGAACATATGCCAATGGAATTTTGGTTTTCCTTGGCAAAACAAAATGCATTTTAATATAAGAAAGAAGTTGCACGAAAAGAGCGGGTGTTTCTGGTTCTCGTAACTAGAGATGCACAGAATCCGGATTTCGATCCGGATCGGATAAAAACCGATTCGGTTTTTTCTCCCAACCCAAAAACCGGATTTTAAAAAAATCGGTTTGGATCCTAACCGGTTTGGAGGGTCGGATGGTGTAACCGGTGTAATCGGTTTCGGTTTGCAAAAAACCGGTTTTTTAAAAAAACCGGTTTTTTATCCGGTTTGAAAAAATCGGTTTTTAATCCGGTAAAAAAACCGGTCGTTCAATTTTTTCTCAAACCGGTTATACTATCCGGTTTTTAAATATCCGATCCGGTTTAAAAAAAACCGGTTTTTTCAAAATCCGATTTCGAATATTTTTTACCCAAAATCGGATATTCGGATTTTTTGTACACCTCTACTCGTAACTACATCGTCAACGAAGCAGTCCCCTTTCGATCTTTGTTATTTAAAAAAGCAGGCCACACCAAAAAGAAAGGTCTCATCGGCTGCGATTTATTCCATTTTTAAAAATAAATAAATAAGATATTTACACGTGTCAAATTTGCATTAGCCGCAACACATCTCGGATGAGGTCCGTAGCCAGTATACATCAACTGGGGACTTGATATCTTCAACTTTCAGGTCTCTTCTTTTACCTCATTCAACGGCTTAAACCACCAAACTGGTTCAAAATGGCTATTCTGCCCGCGCTGTCAGACCGTAAATACCGACGGAGTCACCGAGCGGTTCTCCTCCCACAAAAGCTCGGCTACCGAGAATTCGAGTCTCCGGAAGCCAGCTTCCATGGGGCGTCAATTTCAGGAGCCGTTTTCAACCTCTCGACTACAATCGTTGGAGCTGGTATCATGGCGCTCCCAGCCACCGTCAAATCCCCGGTCTAGTGGCAATTATATTCGTCTCTATGTTAACGGAATCATCCATCGATAAGATTCTCAGATTCAGTCGAGCCTCCAAGTCCGCCACGTATTCAGGCGTCGCCGCTGACGCTTTCGGTGCGGTCGGTCGTAACATCCTTCAAGCTTGCATCGTCATCAACAACACGGGCATGCTCGTTGTTTACATAATTATCATTGGTATACTTTGAACTCATAATTATGAATTACGGTTCGTCGAAGGATTAATAGCCGTCTGATAAGAAGTTAATTTTTTAATTGGTGGCAGGTGATGTGTTATCGGGAACATGGAAGTATGGGTTCCACCACATGGGAATTTTGGAAGAATGGTTCGGTGAACATTGGTAGACCACGCGTTCAGCTGTTCTGTTGTTCATCACGCTTTTTGTTTTCGCCCCTCTCATCTCATTCAAACGCGTTGGTACTCCTCAAACTTTTCCCCACTCCCTCTACTTTTCAGACTTCTGAAAATTTAATTCCTCTGCTTTTACTTTCAAAAATTATGATCCTTCTGTTTATCTGGTCGATTTAAAAATTAATGTCGAATCATATTGTTAATGGCCTTCTGTAAAACTTAAAAGCTCTGCTTTAAATAGTAAAGTTCAGTTGGTAACATATAAAAGTGTTGTTGCTTGTAGTTTCATTTTCAAATAAGACAGATAAAGAGAGCAAATTCCTAAAATTAAAGCAGGGGGCTATATTTCAAATTTACAAAGAAAAAGTGTTTTTTTTCTTATTTTTGATTGAATTGGCTTGGTGACTATAGATTCATTGAGGTACACATCAGCATTATCAGTTGGCTTCGCAGTGGTGTTTGTGGCAATAACAGCAGGAGTTACCATCGTTAAGTTGATGGAAGGAAAAATTGGAATGTCTCGTTTAATGCCGAAACTTGATACTCAAGCATCATTTTGGAAGCTTTTCACCACTGTTCCTGTTCTAGTTACTGCTTATATATGCCATCATAATAGTAAGTCATGGCAGATTGTTTCTATATTCTTCGGTACTTCCAAGTCCCAATATCATTTATTTACTATCATACTTGGGTTCTGTTTAGTTGTTGGTTTAAGTTAATTTTCATCCAATTTGCTTGAAACTAGTTTATGTTTAATTGATACATAAATCTCCTCAACGATCAAGTGATCCATTTATGGTTCAACATTGCATAGAATTACAAACATGCACTATCATTTAAGAATGTTAGTATTTTTAGGTTAGCTATCATATGGTGTATTTCTTTGACAAGATCTTTTGTTTATTAAATGATGAGAGATTCAGTTTATATTATTTGGTACTCTGCTCAGCTCTCATTCTTGCGTTGCAAAAGATTTTTAAATTCTTATATATATCATTGCTTGTGATAACCCCCTTTTTTTGGTATTGGATACACTTGCAGTACACCCAATAGAGAATGAACTGAAGGACCCTACACAGATGAAGTTAATTGTTAGCAAGTCCCTCATATTTTGCACTGCTATCTACATTGCTACTAGCTTCTTTGGAGTTCTTCTCTTTGGAGATCATATTTTGGATGATGTGCTTTCTAATTTCGATGCTGATCTTGGGATTCCGTATAGTTCATTGCTCGATGATTTTATCAGACTTGTGTTCTTCTCTCTTCGTCTCAATGTAGATGGACTGTTATTTCCGTATGCCATTCCTATTGCCATTTCTAAAAGGAGATTTGTCTCAACAACAGTTGCTCTAATGGGTTTCGTCTTTATGGGAGCCAACTTTATTCCTAGCATCTGGGATGCTTTCCAGTTCACCGGTGCAACTGCCGCAGTTTGTGTTAGTTATATAGCTCCAGCTGCATCACCCTTCAGTGAGTAATATTTTATATAAGCACGTTTTGTTGAATACGGAGTTATGGATTGTAATACTTGTTAAATGGTAGAGGACTGTATGTTTTATATCAGAGTAGAATACATGAAATCTAGTAGTGGAGCTCATTGGCCCTAAGTAGAGCTTCTTGTGTAAGATATTGATATTGATATGATAGCACGAGTGAAACTACAACCCTATAGAAGAAAATAACAACTTGCATTTAATAAACATGGGTTTTTATCATCAACCTTGTTTGAAATGTGGTAATCAAGTAGTTAATGGTTTCTAATATGCATTTTATGCAGGGACACCCATGGAATTGCAACCAAGAATGATAGACTAATATCATGAATGATGATCTTCCTTGCTGTCTCAACAAGCACAGTGGCTGTGACAAGTGACATTTTAGTGTTGACGACGGAGTTGTAACCTAACCCTATTCAAGGGACTAGTTTGTATCCGATGTTACTCGATCATTGCATTTGTCGGAAACCCTAGCTAAAGCGCAAGCAAATAATCTGGGTTTCTTGCAGATTATCCTCAAAGCTGACTTGAGAAAGGGGATCTGTTTTAAATGAGCTTGCCGTGAGGAAGTGTGACATTTCCAACATCTCATTGGGTTTGATATGACCATTTCGATGTAATTCAGGTGATTTAGCTGTCAGTTCTTGATACTTTAGAATAGTGCAAATAGGAGCATTCTAAATATTTCATATCACGAAATTATAGCCGTACTTCAATGACTCGTTGGTGGTGTCTGAATTTATCAATGGTTGAAACCATGAATCATTGATGATCTAAATTTTGTCAAAACGTATATCAGATTATATACTCAAATGCCTTAACCCAATTTTATGAATTACTTTCTAATCTCAAACAATAGGTCTAATGATATTTTGTTCCTCCAACTTTTCAGAGAAAGTTATCTTAGTCTTTTAACTCTCAAATTTTTAATATTTGTAGAAGTTAATTAATTGACGAAAAACAGTAACATTCCCATTAAGTTGACATCAGCTATTTTGATATTAAATTAGCATAAGTTATTTTGTTTTTATGTTATGTTAATACTGTTGTTCTTTTGTGTAAAAAAAATTAAATAAAATCGTAAAATATTACAAAATTGTGAGAAAAAAAATAAAAGCATTAAAAATGGTAGAACTTATATAAAAATATTAAAAAATGATAAATTTGGAAAAAAATAAATAGTTGATGTCAACTTAACAAATTTATTATGTTTTTATTAATTGGTTATTTCAAGACAAAATGACCATAAGAAAATTAAGAGCAAAATATAAATTTTCTGAAAAATTAGAGGGTAAGAATGTCATTAAAACCTAAACAATCCATCAATAAATCTTTTCTAGATCCTTAACCTTGGCCTCAGAGCGTACCATTCTTGGAAAAGTAGTGTTTTTACTCAAAAATTACCCTAACAATAAATGATTACCTATTGGACATCGTTTTTCCAAATATTATTGATCTAACACCCTT